GGAAAGATTATAATTTACTTATTTGGAAAAATCTGCACTTAACTTACTTGCTTTTGAAACAAATAAGGCCTTGGGAAGTTAATCTTTTATGAAGCTTTCTGCACTGTGTATCAAACTGATTTCATAGTTAACCTTGCTGTGCTGAACAACATTTTCACTGAGAAATACCAGCCCAGGAATAAACTCATTTCTGGTAATGCTGATGTGGCTGTTTGATGCCCCAAGAAGCTCATATGGATTCCAGAGCAGGAGTAGTGCTGATTCCATATGCTGGCCGAAAGAACCTTTCGTTTAGATTCTCAGGTCATAATATGAGATTCACTAAGAAGGCTTGTGGTCCCAGAGACTGTCAAGATGAAAACAAAGAGATGTAGGGTTCACTTTACATAAAGCTAAGCCAACACCCAACTACAGCAGGCTGGTTGTACACAGGAGCATAACAATATCTAGGATAAGCCAAATAACAGCCTCCTCCATCTCGAACTATACCAATAGATTATTTATGCAAGAAAATAGCTTGCCTCTCTGTCACCAGGAAAATGAGATTTTGTATTTATTACTCTCCCTCCTAGTCCCTCTTCTTCCCTTCTCACTCTTTAGCTTTTTTTCTTGGTTTTTCTCTTTTTAAAAATAAGACATGATTAGTCCCTGTTTTGATTGAATTGACTGTCACCTGGGTAGCCACACTTCACTTGGGTATTGCTACTCACTCTTTCATGATCGGAAATTTGGTATCTTCAACCTGATTTTTTAAAAAATAAGTCATAGCTCTCTGATTTCCTAGCTAATGCTATGTTGCACAGAATTTATATGCAGAGTTCAAATGAAGGAACAGGCATCTTTCTTTTCTCTTTAGAGCAATTAAGGAATTAAAAGACAAATATTGTCTTTCTTGGCTTGGACAGAGGTCTGTGGACCAAGCCCTGTTTATTCTTTTTGTTTTATTTGTTTATTTATTCATTGATTTATTTGTCTATTTTTATCTTATGTATACAAGTATCTTGCCTAAATGCATGTTAAGTGTACAACACAAATGCAGTGTCTTCAGAGGCCAGAAGAGGGCGTCGGCTTCCCTGGAACTGGAGCTACCGATGGCTGTTAGCTACCATGTGAGTGTTGAGAATCCAGCCTGGGTCCTCTGCAAAGCAGTCAGTGCTTTTAACTGGTGAGCCACCTCTCCAACCCCCTTATCCCTACTCTTTCTTAATTCATATCATGAGGCTCTGCAAACCAGACTAGACACTTTTGCAGAGGAAGACTGTCTCCTGACAAGGAGAGCATGCTGGCAGTCAAAGAGCAGAAGCTGCACCTTATCTCCACTAAAAGACCTAGCATCAATTTGGAGACACCTGTTAACTCTCTGAGCATCACTGTAAGACGTGAACCAGAACAGCACAAATCTATGGAGAGACACAGAGCACATTGTTTGGAGGACATTTGGAGACATTAACCTTTACAGAAATAAAAGAAAAAGAAGAGCAAAGAAGGAAAAGATTCCTCAGGCTTCCTTTCCTGTAAGTGCTTAGAAAATTGTCACAGAAAATTGTCTGCCTTGGAAAATCAGTCACTTCAAAAAGAGTTTTTCCTCCAATCTGCCTAAAAACCACTTCTGTGGAGCTGACACAGCTTTACAATGGCAGAGATTATGATATTGCAATGAAAATTTTACTTAAAAACTAATGCATAAAATGTAAATGCTACAACAGTATGGGATTTTATAATAAGGATTGAGGTCTAAAGAACTCTGGACCTAGGAATGAGAACAAGCCCAGTGGACCAATTATTTGTAGGACTACCTTAAAGTCCAAGAGGGAAGGAAAGAAGGAAAGGAGGTGGGGAGGGGGGTGTGTCCTAGTTTGTTTCTTCATTGCTGTGACAAAACACTCTGACCACTACCAACTTGGGGAGGAAAGGGTTTATTCAGCTTACATCTCCCAGGTCATAGTTCATCAGGGAGCCCAAGGTAGGAACTCAGGGCAGGAACCTGGAGACAGGAGCTGGAGCACAGTCCATGGAGGAACACTGCTTACTGGCTTGCTCCCCTGGCCCATGCTCAGCCTGCTTTCTTATGCAACACAGGCCCACCTGCCCAGGGGTGGCACCACCCACAGTGGGCTGGGCCCTCCCACGTCGCTCATCAAGAAGATGTCCCTCAGACATGGCCACAGGCTAGTCCAACAGAGCCAATTCCCCGACTGAGGCTCCCTCAGCCCAGGTGTGTCAAGTTGACACTAAAGCTGTCCAGCACAGGAGGGATAAGGAAGGATAGTTGGAGAGGAGAGAAGAGGAGAGAAGAAAGGGATGATAACTTAAAAGAGCAATATTCTGAAATACAGAATAAATATTCGGAAAAAAGGAAACTATAAAAGAGTCATAATCAGCAATTGCCCTCACAGGTGCATCCTAGTACAAGTATATCAGGATGTATCTATGGCTCAGAAAAAGTTGCAGATGGAGGTAGAGTTCTGGCTAGAGGTAAGAGTAGGAAGCAGATTTGTTGTAAGGTAAAAGTGAAGTATGTATCACAAGTGCCAGTGAAAATTTTTGATGAGACATGAAGTAACTGAAGAAATGCTACATACACGGCTAAAGAAATATGCATCAAGTAATTGAAGTATAAAATATCTTTTTCTCTATATCAAAATTATTGCATTTAGGAGTGAATTTGAACAAAAATTTCATAGAATTCTGATACAGCTGAAGATATTATGATCAGTTCATTCACCTTAGTAATCTTAGGACCTATCTGCACTAGAGTTCCTCAGAGACTCAAGCCCTAGACTCTAAAGCATCCATCTCATGTGTATTCACATCTCTCCTCAGCATCTATACCATAGAGACACTCATTATTGAGAATATGTTCCAAGACCCCTAGTAGCTGCCTAAAACTGTAGATACTAGCGAACCCTATTTAGATTGTTAATTTTCCACATACATACCTGTGGTACTGTTTAATTTATAAATTAGGAACAGCAAAAGATTAGTAATAATAACTCAAAATGAAATAATTATAGTAAGTTATATGAATGTAGTCACTCTCAAAATATCTTATTATATGTACATATTATTTGGAGGGCAGAATATATAATATGGACAGTCCCTGGCCTAGATGAATGGAGCAAGATATTGCACAGTTTTATCACAAGACTAGGAATGCTGCACAATTTTAAATGTCTGCATTGTTTATTTCCAGAACTTTTTATTTAATATTTTTAGACAATATTTAACCCTAGATAATTGAAACTACAGAAAGCAAAGTTTCTGATAAGAGGAAATGATTACTATCCTAATTATATATTATACTATCTTAGAGATAACCTAGAAAATAGTAACTCAAATAATTTTGTTTCTCTGGTTCAAATCAGGATCTCAATTTAATCTTCAAGATAAACAAGTTCCTATAGTATTCCCTCTCTTAAACATTTAGTATCTTTAACCATCAGTAAAATGAAAATTAAAACCACATTGAGATTTCATCTTACCCCAGTTAAACTTGCTAATATAAAAATTTAATAATAAAAAACTAACATGCTGGCAAGAATGTGGGGAAAAGAAAAACACTTATTCACTGCTGTTGGAAGTACAAACTGCTAGTGCAGCTACTATGGAAATAAGCAAAGGGATTTTATTCTATTACAGGAACACCTGTTCATCCCTGCTCTATTCACAATAGGAAATGGAAGCAACCTAGATGCTCTGTAGCGGTTTCCTTTTCCATAAAACCTTAAGTTGGGCAAACAACAGGATGTTTTCAGGGGAGATGAAACATTCCATCCTCCAGAAAAGTTCATGAAGTTCAGGAAATAACTCAATAGCATCAGGAAGTCCCTGAAATTGAGCAGTTTCACTATGCCCTTGACCCCCCCCCCGGAAGCATATACAACCATAAGGACTGCTGAGAGATACTCTCAGACAAGCTGAACTTCCTAGAAGAGGCTCAGAGCAGTGGAGCAGCCTGGAAGCAGACAGCAGCCCAGCTACCTAGAAGAAATAGAGACCAACCAAACTTCCAGGAAGAGGCTCAGACCAACTGAGTTGCCTGGAAAACACACTCTCCAATCTGTTAAGCTGCCTGCAAGTTGTGCAGTATCTTCCAGGTTTCCTGCTTTTGTGAGCTGCCACCCATGCTGGGGTGGGTTTTGGTGGTAGAGCTGTCTATGAATCATTTCTGCTCCTGTCAGTCACTTCGCCTTTATTCCTGTAAATAAGTCCCATAATATGCAGTGGTTCACCAAGTTGGACTTTGGTAGTATTCTTCCTTTGATCTGTCATTGGTTCCCTATCTGGATGAGTAGACATTTGTTCATGTCTCCCCAGGAATGGGGCCACACAACATGTCCATCAAGAGATGAATGGATAAAGAAAATATAGTACATTTACACACTGGAATGTTATTCAGCTGTTATGAAAAACAAAATTATGAAATTTGTAGGTAAATGGGTTGGAGGCAGAAACAATCAACCTGACTGAAATAACCCAGACTCAGAAAAACAAACACCGCATGTTCTGTCTCACAAGTGAATGCTAGCTTGATTCTTTAGATATGTTTCACTTGCAAAATCCAGAGAGCTAAGTAAGCTAGCAAGGGGCTCTGGTAGGGAGCCTCATGGAAGGGGAGATAAAATACAGTGATACAAAGGAAGAAAGGGCAATAATAGGATAGGGAGGGTTAAAAGAGTCAGGGATGGGAGAGCAGGGTAAAGGAGGGAGTTATAAGGATGGATAAGTACACTAAAGGCCTTTAGAAAAAAGTCATACGGAAACCTACTACTATAGAAGCTTCTTAAAATATGTACCCATACAATGTAAAGAGAGTTTAAATGGAATTACCTTATGATGAGGAGAACAATGCAGCTACTAGAAACCGTAGGTATGGTGATTTAAATGAGAATGTCCCCCATAGGCTCCAAGTAGTTGAATATTTTGGGAGGTCTTAGAAGGTGTGGCCTTGCTGGAGGAAGCATGTCACTGGAGGCTGGCATAGAGAGTTCTTCAGCCTTGCTGGATTTCCAGTCACTCTCTACCGGAAGTGCCTGTGTGAAGATATGTGAGCACTCAGCTTCTGCTCAGTTGCCTCTGCCCCCATGCCTCCCTGCCATGATGAACTCTTGCTCCTTTGAAACCAACCATAAGCTACATTAACTCTTCCTTTTAAAAGTTCCCTTGATCATGGTGTTTTATCACAGAAACAGAAACATGGCTAATACAATAAGCTAGCAAATAAAAAGCTTGATGTCAGAAATAAACTCTCTTTTGTTGGTGTTGTTAGCTGGGGGTGCCATAGATACTCAAATAATATGGGCTATTGCCATTGCTCTTGGTTACCCACCAGTACTTGAGGGTAAGACCCTATTATTGACAGTAGTACATACGTGAGTCATAGAACAAACAAGGAGAAATCAACCTGGATCTGATCCTGAAGCTTCGTCTCTATTGCCTAGATTTCATAGTGCTGAAAGTGCTATGTGTGATTCCAGAAGAGAAAAGTAATCATCAGTTTTATCCACTGTGAACTCTGTGAGCTACATTGACTGTCCTGGCAAGATATGTCTACTGGTGCAGTAGTGACATGATTATTATGGGAGTAATCAACAACTTTCTGATTGAAGAATTTAAGGCCCATTTCACAAGATGGAATCCTGGAACTTTTCAGTGCCAAGAACCTGTGGCTAGACAGGTCACCAACCATAAGGGGAAAACTACAACTATTATTCTACTAAATGGACATAGTATTAAACCGACTCCTAATGTCTTAGCTACAACCATAGATTAGTGCATCTTTCAACTCTTATGAGAGAGATTTCTTTTAATGGTGATTTACAAAGAGTCATAACTGGTAAATGTGCAGAGACTAAAAGATTGTGTTTAGTCCTGAATAGGACATTTATATCAAATCTCTACCTCCCAAGGTTTAGGGATCATTGTAGAAGACATAGCAGAAAGATTTTAAGAGCCAGAGATGGTAGATGAATACAAGGAAACTGTTTTCTGGATACAACAGGAAAGTTGCACATATGAACCCAAAGCCCTTGTAACAGCATGCACAAGACCTGTACAAGCCCAAGCCACACAAAAGTCCAACATGGATGGGGGTAGTGGGCAAGAAGCCCTAGCCCTAGTTAAGGAACTATTGGCAATTGATAGCTTCTGAGAGATGGGGAGTCAGTTTTTAAGTCACTTTAAGAGTATGATACCAGGCTTCAGGGGATGGACCCACACCCAAGAGCACTTGGGGAAAGACTCCACAGGACTTTAAAAAATAGTAATAGAGGACATGAAGTCCAGTGGAGGCTCGTAAGGTGGAAATGGAAATGGGGGAGGGGCCTGAATATGATGGAAATACCTTGTATGAAATTCTCAAAGAATCAATAAAAGCACTTTTTAAAACAATTCACTGTCTCTGTGCTCTCTCTCTCTCTTTCTGTCTCTCTCTCTCTCTGTAGCAGACACGCACACACACACACACACACACACACACTCACTCACTCACCATGGAATCCTGGCACTGTTTTCAGGGCCCAGAATCTGTGCTTAAATTGGCTATACTTTCTTCCAACCTGGTGCCATGTAACCCCCCCTACCTTTGCTCCTATTCCATCTTAAGATTTTTACCTTCCCAGACACCTTTCCTGTCCAGAATACAGACAGAGCTCCAGGTTCCCCTGTCATGGCATTCTCAGCTACTTCCTGTTTTCAGCTTCCGTGGTTGCATTGTGAACCACTGTAAAACATCCCTTTCTGTCTGTTGTTCAAGAAGGTTATCTCAGCTTTTCAAATTCCCAATGCCTGACTTTTAAATTAAGAAGTTCTCAATAAATGACAAATATTTAGTTTAAGACAATTTTATATAGAGCAGTAGCCTGCGATTATTAAATGGAACCAGAAGCCACCCTCTTGTTTCATATTTAAGAACTGTAATTATCTTTATAGCTATCAAATGGCTATCAAATTTTATGCCACAGAATCATGGGATTCCTTCAAAGAATTTATAGTCATTTACCCATGTATTTTTCAACAAATAGTGAATCAATAAATAAATGAATAAAAACTAGAAAAGGAAATATTAAAGAGTATATTTTGAATCCTAAATATTTCAAATAATTTCCAGAAAGGAGATGTCTTTGATTCATACTTTTATAGCTTAATTGCTTTATCATTTTTAATTATTAGTTTGTAAGTTATAATTCCCAATAATCCCGTCTAATAAGACTTTAAGCTCCATTACAGCATGAGCTATGTTAGAAGTTGTTTTATTTTTAGAGCTTGCAGTGTAATGATTAACATAGAACAGATACCTAAAATCATTAAAAAGAATTAAATTGAAAATTAGAAATTTACTTTAAAATGTAACACATTGTACAGCTTCACATACAGAAAGCATGTTTACATAAACCATGTCCTCAGTTTTACTTGCTATTCTGACCATTGCAGCTACATCTAGAAAACAAATTAATTGTGTTAGGGAATTTTAACCTCATGTGCTAAGTGCATTGTAATATTTAAAATTTTTAATATTTTTTTCAAGTAAAGATGACAAAATTGACATAAGAATAATTGAACAATAAGAAAGGCAGAATAGCTTTTGAAGGGCAATGCTTCAAGTGCATGTTAAGGAATTTTGTCTTCATGGAAAAGAGAGGAGCTTTTTCACAAAGACTTTTTAGTGAGGTTTAGCATAAAATATGTACTTAAATCCCAGAGAACCAGAGAAGTTCATCTGACATGAATATTTCCCTGAACTCCTTGAAAATAACAGACAGATCTACAGAAATCAGAGCGTAGTTTGCTTGTTTAAGATGCAGATCTAGAGCCAGTTAATCCAATTACTAGGCAGATCACTTTGAAAAGTCACTGAGTCTCTTCGTGTTTTTACCGTTTCCCATCTGTAACGCAGGGGAAAGAATCAAACCTGCCTCATAGGATTACTGTGAAAAATAACTGAGGTAATACATGTTGATGTCAGTGACTAGCAATTAATAGCATAGGAATATGCTATCTGGAACCTAATTTTTACGTCAAATAAAACATTAACATGGGCGGGAATAAGGATATTAATATAGGCGGCTTACTGGTACTTCTCTCCCACATGTTCATTTCTTACTTCCTGTTCCCCCAAAGACCATCTTGTCTATGAGCAAAGAAAATGACAGAATAAAAACTGGAATTAAAGGTTTACTTCCTGAAATTCCAACAAGAAATTATTCACAAGTGTTCATAAGCAGGAAAAGGACGGGAAACAAAACCTAACAGACATCATAATGAAAGCTGTCTAGGAAACAGCATAAAAAGAAACCCAAACGAAGTCCACCTGTCATCTGGAAGAGTGCACCTCACAACACATCCCTGAGAACTTGGGGTAGAGATTTCATTACTGAGTGCAAAGGATTCAGTAAATCAATGGGGCCTTCAAGGGAGCAGAGCTTCCTAATGGGATTGTAGAAGCCAAAGCCTGGAATACTCTGAACAATTCCTTCTCAGTCTGCCTCCTGCATATATCGATTGGCCTCCTTTGAAGAACACACTCAACAATATCTGAGATGACAGCTCTACATAAAAAAAAAAAAAAAAGAAGAGAGGCTGGGCTTCGTGGCCCATGCCTTTAATCCCAGCACTCAGGAGGTAGAGGCAGGTGGATCTCTGTAAGTTCAAGACAAACCTGGTCTACATAGTGAGTTCCAGGACAGCTGGGGCTACAGGGAGACCCTTCTTCAAAAAGACCAGAGAGAGAGAGAGAGAGAGAGAGAGAGAGAGAGACAGAGAGACAGAGAGACAGAGAGACAGAGAGAGACAGAGAATAAGTCAGGACATGGAGAGCACATGCTAAAAAAGAGTCAACACTGTATCTGAACTTTCACTGGAAAGCTCTAGATGCAAAGATTCTTTCACTTATTAAGAGGATATAATGGGGGCAGGATATATATCTCAGTGGTCAGAATACTTGCTTAGCATATGTGAGACTCCAGGTCTGATCCCCAGAACTTCATAGAAAGTAAGGGAGACAAAGGGAAGGAAAGAGGAAGGACAGGGGCAAGGGAAGGGAAGGGTTTATCAAGAGTTTATCATATTGCTCATAGCATTGCAAGTAAACAGACAAACTGCTCTCATGGCCTCTGCATTCTAGATAAGAGAAGAAACAACCCCAAGGCAAGTAAATGAGTGCACAACTACATCACATGACAAGGACAGTTACCCAGTCTAAAGGTCAAGGGAAACTATAATATGAACTTCAGTCATATACCCCAAGGATACAGTTCTTAGAAACTGAAACAGATGGGGCTGGAGAGATGATTCAGCAGTTAGCACTGGCTGCTGCAGAGGACCTAGGTTCAGTTCCCAGCACCTACATGGCAGCTAACAACCATCTGTAACCCCAGTTCCAGGGGATCTGATGCCTTCTCCTGGCTTCCATGGGTATTTCAAGACATGGGTGCACTTACATACATGCAGGCAATATACTCATACACATAAAATAAAAAGAAAATATTTTTAAAAAGAAATTAAAATAGGTCAATACAGATACATCCAAAGAAAGGTTCCAGTGAAGGGTATGTCTCAAAGATGTGCAAGGTGTTTTTCAAGTAGGAGGGCTCCTGTATTGTGTCTCGGTTAAAGTATCTGCCCAGGCACAAGGCATCCTTGAGGCATGCCGTGTACACTGGATAAATTTGTTTTATAAACCTAACCTAAATTACAAGTTTCCTGCAGTCTCTCTATCTACAAAGCACTTGAAAGCATCATGTATAATTTTAATGAGCACCTAGGGATCCCAGAGTTCCAATGAAAAAAAGTGGTGAAAACGGACTTTTAAAAGTTTAGAAATTTCTAAATATTTTTCCTCAGAACACTTTCCATCTTCCTCAGTGGTGCACTCGTACCACTATCTTAAGTTCTCTTAGCAAAACCTGAGAATGGATGCAAACCCAGGAATTCAGATTCCAGAAGCAATGTTAAGCATCAAACTCAGTCAACAGTGAAGAAAGCACGTAAAAGAAATTATACCTTCAACAAATCAATCAACTTCTTGTAAATCTTTAACCTGAACATAATGGATATGTGGCAGTAAGTGAAGCAAAGTGAGTATGTTTAATAGTCTCTACACCTTTTACTAAATAATACTACATAGGTATAGACCTCACTTAGCTCAACAGCAAATGCCTTAATCCAAAAATTACAAATATAAAAGTTAAGGGCTTCAGCAACAGAATAAAAGACACATATGACTTCCTGAGATGCGCATGAGCTCAAAAGCCAAGTCAAAGTAGGCCAAGTTCTCCCAGGGCTGGCCTCATGCCCTATTGTTGGAGCTGTCAGTGTGCCCAGCACATACCTGGTAAAGGAACACAGTGATACTAACAGGATGGTACCAGTTCAGTTGCCCCTGCCAACTTCAAAAGAGGATGCCTGTGAACAGAAATGGAACAAGTGTGTTCAGGAAGCTAGGTCCATGAGAGATGCAGGCTAGTCTGCTTGTCTCTTTCAGTATCTTGGCCATCTGTAACAGGAGAAACCTGTGTGGACAATATGTTCTTAACAAAAGCACTAGCCTGCCCCAGGGAGACAGCACAGGAAATGGTCCGTTTGAACTAGTATGCTCTGTCCTACTTAAAAGATTTTTTTCCCAACAAATCCTTCTACATTTCCCTCATGTAAATAATAAGACCCAAGAGTACCACGTTTTTCTTAGCAAAGGCTGTTTGTAATAGTTTAGCCTGCCTCCTTTGCACTGTTAAGGTTTTGTTTAGCAAATGCTATTATACAGAACAGATTCACATATGTTATAGTGCTTTAATTTTCCAATATTCATGGGTTATTTGTAGATCCACTTTATAGATAAAGAAACTAAAGCCCAATATCATCTAATTTGGACCAGGATTCAGGACAGGATCAACTCTTCCTCTTGCTGAAGATAACCTTCATCACTAATCCTGGCCATGTAAAACATAAAAATCTAAAAATTTGAGTCAGATTTTTTTTACAAAATTAGAAAATAAGACCATTAAATAATCTTTACAAAGATTAAGTCAGACTGTGTAGGAGCCTCAGAGAAACAAGTAATAAGGGGCAAAGAAAAAAAGACTCTAGATAAAACTTAATTCTACAAAGAATGGGGGCGGGTTGTCAAGAGCTAAGAGAAACTGAAAGAGCACTCCTCAACAGGAATTTGATTTGGTATGGGGCCTCAGACCCTTTTGGGCTCAATCTCTTCTGGTACTCTGTATTTTTCTATTTTACTGTCTGCTCCCTACCCTTCCATCCAAATGAGTCCCTGGTGCTTGATTTTAGTGATTTATCTAAAACTGGCAATAAGAAGTGTTTATGTGTCACGTCGTTTAGTGTATAAGGAACAGTCAATCACTAGAATTATTAAAAAAGACAGTCTTGATTTCTGGAGCAGTAAAATAGGAATTCTCTATTAAGCATTGCCATTTGCAAACACCCAGGCTAACAGAGCACAGTGTCAAGAAAGAGGTGGGCAACTTGGGAGCTTGGAAGAAAAATAGTACCTGCTCTGAATCTTCAGTTAACACCAAGAATGGCTTTTTCTCTAATAAAACAACTCAAATTTAAAATGAAACTATACAAAGTTAAAGTTGAATTCATGTCATATAATCAAATCATGCTGAATTTATTTTTCCAGAAAGAGCTAACGAATACACAAGTGGGCTTTCATGGTTTAAAGCTTCATCAGTACTTTTGAAATGGTGGCAGGACTGCTGGCTTCTCCGTAGAGCATCAGGCATGGGGTGGGGTGAGGGGGTTGCCAAGATAGATTCTGGGGTTACAATGGAGGTATGCTGACTTTTCAAAAATAATTTCAGTTCATGAAAAAACTGCTAATGTGAGTCCTGGGAAACTAGGAATAATATACATCATATATCATGTATATGTGAGCGGGGTACTTGTGCACATGTGTGCATGACCTTGGGTGTCTTTCTTAATTCAGAGCTTGCTGATTGACTAGTCTAGCTAGGCTATTATATGTTTTAAAAAAATGCCTAGTGTGAAAATAAGTCACAACAACAATATTAACAAAATGAATTACATATTCATGGAAAACACAAAATAATAAAATAGTTCTGCTCTCAAAATGAAAATTCCTAATAGTTCTGCAGTTTCTGTACTGGGACATGGCATAAAGCAATTAGGATTTTCTTGTCCAACCCTCTCTATGCCCAGATCCTTTCCAGTCAGTTCAAACCCTATTCTTGCTGCTCTTATGTCCCATAATTTCTTATAACCTGCATCCCACATTCTTCTACTTGTGAATTAACTTTTAAAAATAGGTTATATGTAGCCTGCCTTTCTTAGGATATTCTGTCTAATGGGCAGAAGCTGGATTGTCCAAAAGACTCTTCAAAAATGTTTATATGCAGTTCATTTGAAAATGTGTTCACCAGGAGATTAATTTCCTTTTACACACAAGAAAATATAAAAAAAAGATTATAGAGGAATAGGAAGGATTGGGGTTTAAGTTCAACCCTGTTAAGCTAAAATGACACTTTAAAATTTTTATTTATTTACTTTTATTTTACGTGTTTGAGTGTTATGCCTGCAGGTGTGTAAGTGCACCTGTGTCAGGCAGTTCCCAAAGAGGACAGAAAAGGGCATTTGATTCCCTGGAACTGGAGCTACAGATGGTTGTTAGTTGCCATGTGGGTGTTGGGATTCAAACCTGGGTCCTCTACAGCTAGTACTCTTAACCTCTAGGTCATCTCTCCAACCCAAAATGATGCTTTTTAATCAAAATCAGTATATAAAAATTACTTTCTGACTTACTATAACCAGAGATTTTTTGAGAAAGTAAGCCATGTTTTCATTCCTTTTGTCATTCTTGTTCATTTTCCCCCAAAACATATGAGAGATTTTCCCTACTTTATCATGAGGATCAGTGAGGCCAACATAATTTTTAACTTTCAAAGCTTCAGGTATATTGAGCTCATACTGTGTCCACGTGGTAAGCATTTGCTGAGCGCCTGCTCCTTGAAGGCCAAATGGAATGTCCAGCATTTGTACAGCACTTTAAGGCATAATGTTCTCCCCACATAGCCTCTTAGCCTCTTCTCAGACCCTCAGGGCAACCCTGAAAGTAGATAGGGGAGTCTCATCAATAAAACACAAGTGAGTAGGAAAATAACACATTTAATGACGTGGTTCATGTCCCAAAGCCTATTCTCAATACGAGGAGGCCCCAAGTCCCCAGCACCAGTACACTATCTATTTTGTGCCTGGAAATTCCATTTTTCAAATGAATGCCTAGGATTCCAAATGATTGAATTCTAATTCTAGGACTTCAGTTTCTCACGGTGAAGATGTTTTGATTTCATAATTGGCAGTGATGATATCACTTATTGACGGCTCACTCTGTGCTTCTTAAGGCTTTTGTGCAGCTGTTTGACAACATTGCTTTATCGCTCTCCCTGAGCTGTCAAGCATCCTGCAAACCTATTTCTTACCACATGCATGCATGAATGCTTGACTAGTTCTGTGTACAAAAGAAAGTAAATAATGAACCATGGCACACAAAGAAGGTCAAAGATAGCCAAACTAAATTACACATTACTTGCACACTGCTGACCCTGTTCATTTGAATTGTGGATTAGAAATGGACAGCATAAAGGTCAGTATGGATAGGAAAGACATTTCTCAATATCTAAAATCCGGTTTACCTATGTTCCTTAAAAATGATAGCTACATAAAAGATGTCAGTTAAGGGGTGAAGGTGGCTTCCAAAAGGACAATAAAAAAAAAAGAATGACATGAAGCAATGTATGAGGTGGGAATTGTTTTGGAACTAATCGACAACAGCCGTTGGTTCATTCCAAATCCACAGTAGGCAATTTCTGCTTTGTCTGAGCCTCCAAAAGGCCCAAGACATGCAGGATTCTCTCATCGGGTTTTGGCTTTCAATTTTTGAGGCCAGCAATTAATAGTTATAGTGTTAAGATTCATTTTTAAAATATTGTATAGGATTCCTACTGAAAAAACTGTAATTAGCCCACTCCAGCTAGGGCTTGCTGCTTGATGTTAATTAATAGGTTCTTTTAGTAGGGGAAGCCCTTCTATTTCAAGGTTATCTGCCAAATATAACTCTTATTTTTGTTTGCCTTCTTTCAATTAGCACATTTTGACTGAACAAAATCTACATTTCCCAAAATAATTAAATATACTTTAACTAGAAGGCGCTTAACACAATGCATTAAAACAATGTTTAAATGTTTTTCTTAAAACAATGTTTTTCTACCACTTGACTCAAGTTTTGAGGAGGCTAATTTGTAGTTGAATCAGTACATCCAATTATGGCTCAGCTGAAAATAAAATTAGTGTGACACTTTATTAAGACAATGACTCATAAAATGTTCTGCTATGAAGGCAGACACAAGACTGCTTGCATTTGATATAGAGCTAAATTATATGAGACACTTGTTTTTTAATATTTTTAGTTATTATTTTTATTTTATGTGTATGAATGCATTGTTTGCAGTGTGTGTAAGTACATCTGTGTCGTGCAATGCCCACAGAGGTCAGAAGAGGATGTTGTGCTGATCCTCTGGAACTGGAGTTAGAATGGTTATTAGCTGCCATGTGGGTGCTGGGAATCAAACCCAGGTCCTCTGCAAGAGCAGCCAGTACTCTTAACTGCTGAGCTATCACTCCAGCCCAACACTTGTAATACCTAAAAGTAGGAGCTCATTTTCTTTTATAAGGCCTAGAAGATGAGGGCAAGTGCGCTTTAGCTACTCAGAAACCTCAGCAAAGAACATCAAGTGGATTCCCTCCCCAGAGGTGCCATCCTATCGGTATACAGCACAGGCTGAAAGAAGCAAACCCAGCGACCACTGAACAGGAATGGCTGACACTGTGTGGCTAAGGTCTTCCTCCTGCTGAACTCTTGTAATAACTCACCTATTCTCTCAGGCATGTTAGCCTTCTACCCCCGTTGGCATAATTAGTAAACACATTTAAAGATTCCTTCAAGATTACAAATACCTTGAAGACAGAACCCATTTCTGATTTGTGTCTGTGTACCCAGCACCAAGCTCAGCACCTTGTTCTCAATTTTCGATGAGTCAGTACTTGTTGACTCATCATGAGGGTCTTGGCTCTGGTCTTCTAGCACCTCACCAGTCTCCTCACCATGGCCATCAGATGTGACAGGAGTAGAGTCCTGTTCTAGTTTGCTTTCTATTGTTGTAATAAACACTATGACCAAAAGCAACTCGAGGGAGGAAAGAGTTTATTTCATCTTACAGGTTACGTCTCATCATCCAGGAAAGCCAATGCAGGAACTCAAGGCAGGTACTTGTGGACAGGAAATGAAGCCAAGACTACAGAGGAAAGCTGCTTACTGCCTTGCTCCCTGCCTTGTTCAATTATCTTTCTTGCACAGCCCACCAGTCTAT